GCCCGATGTCTGATTGTCGAGTCGAACACGACAGTTGAGTCGAACACGCTCGTCGAGTCGAACACGACATTGCCCGATCGTCGAGTCGAACATGATAGTCGAGTCGAACACGATCGTCGAGTCGAACACTATCGAGGACTCGAACACGATAGTCGAATCGAACAACGATCGTCGAGTCGAACACGATCGTCGAGACGACCACGATCGACGAACACGATTGACGAGTTGAACACGATCGTCGATTGCGATCATCGAGACGAACACGACCGTCGAGTCGAACACGATAGTCGAGTCGAACACGATAGTTGATAGCGTTTGTCGAGTCGAACACGATCGTCAAGTGGAACACGATCGTCGATTGTGTTCGTCGAGTCGAACACGATCGTCGAGTCGAACACGACCGTCGATTGCGTTCGTCGTGTCGAACACGTTTGTCGAGTCCGACACGATCGTCGAGTCGGACACGATCGTCGAGTCGAACACAATCGTCGACTGCGTTCGTCGAGTCGAACACGATAGGCGAGTGCCCTGTCGTCGAGTCGAACAAGATCGTCGAGTCTAATACGATAGTCGAGTCGAACACGATAGTCGAGTCGAACACGATGGTCGATTGCGTTCGTCGAGTCGGACACGATCGTCGAGTCGAACACGATCGTCGATTGTGTACGTCGAGTCAAACGCGATAGGTGAGTGCCCTGTCGTCGAGTCGAACACAATCCTTCCCTGTCCTCTAGTGGAACGAGAATGTGTGTGGTGCAATGTCATCGAATTGTTCATGACTGTGTGCATTGCTATGGACCGCGTGCGTCGTGTCCTAGAAGATCGTGCATGGGTTGCGTGCGTGGAATTACGGGCGTGGATTGCGCACATAGATTCTGTGCATTGTGTTGTCGTGCGGCCTGGTTTGTTTCCATTGTAGGGGGCAGCGGGGTGAATAGTTCTATGTTGTTGTTGGTTGTTCTATTGCTGTTGTTGATCTTTGCCCTTGTGCCGTGCAGGGCGTCTTCTCTTCACTGTTGCTATGGAGATCTCTAATATGACCCCAACACTTTGATGTGCACGCAAGGCACACCCTTTCCCACCTTGCGCGCTGTACGTCCGTCAATGTCAGGGCAGCGTAACCTATGAAGGCGCTTGTCTAGAAGACTTTGAATGCGACCCTTGGATGAGAATCCTCCCGTTTGGCGACAAACATTTGGACTCGTGGGAGGAGTGCGAGTGGGTGAACATGATGGAGAGATGCCCGTGGGCTTGCGATTATGAGTTCGCGAATATGTCCGAATTCGGCAAACGCATTCCCGTGCCGTTCGATGTGCTGCGTCCCGTGCGCTTGCCGCTACTGTATAAAAAACTAAAAATAAGTCGTGTTCTGGGGGTTTTGGACTGCGAATACGTGACAACCTCGTCTCGCACCTGGTGTCCTGTTATGAAACAGGAGTTACTCGATTGTGCGCGACATTCTCAATTCCTCGATCATTATCCGTTGCGATCTCCCGGTCTGTCGCGAGGAGCAGTTTCGTATTGTTGTGTGAGATTGCATCTGGCATACTTTATCTTCTGTAGGGTCCTCTGTATTGCCGTTTCGAGCAGGGCAAGAAACTTGACCGATGCTGTCGTGTGTGTGTCCAGGAACGAGTTATCTATGTCAGGGAGGGATATGTGTTTAGTTCAAAGAAGGGGAGATGGGAGACTGGATATCGTGGTGGGTGGCCAGGTGTAGGACGTTGTGGCATGGCGTGAGGTCGAGGCTAAAGTCGTTTCAATTTGGGATGCTATAGGCGCTTCTCTCGTAGGGAACTCCGGGTTCGCGCGAATGACATACATTTCGGTGTTTGCTGAGACGGCGCAGCAGCTGACCTTCGGAACGCCAATTAGCGTGTTGAATGGCCGCAACGGCGAGATTGTTCCCCGTAGTCGGTAGATAGCCTCGTGGGATTCGCATTGCGATTACTGTTCTCAATGTGTTATTTCGATAACAATACGCGGTATCTGCTAGTTGTTCTCGATTGTTGTTCTCAATGTGTTGTTCGATAACAATACGCAGTATCTGCTAGTTGTTCTCGTCATGTGTTTAGTGGCCAAAAGTACACACGTTTGACGTTGTTGTCCTCATATTGTTTTCCGATTCATTGAAACCCGGGAATGATGACATATGATTTTGGTTTGGCTTTGGACGCCGACACATCGCTGTCAGCCGAGTGTTTTATTGTTGTTCTTGTGTTGTGTTTCCTTTCGGAAAAAAAAAACTCGTTGTTCTGATGTTTTGCGTGCACAAACATTCAGCAGTCAATGTTTCTCCGTGTTAACCAGTGCCTGCGATCTGTTGTCTTGTGTTCTCGTGATCAAGTGCCCCTTTAGGCTCCGTCCGTCGACCATTGCGTCAAACACGACAAATGTCGCACAGCACAACCCAGTGTCGAACCCGATGGTCAGCTCCCCTACAGGCACCGTTTGGCGACCATCATGTCGAACACGACATGAACACTGTTATCTGGCGACCAGACGGTGCATGAAGGGCCGCTTGGTCAACTGTCGCACGCCAGACAACAGTGTAGCTGTCGTGTCCAACACGACGGTTGGTCAGCCCGCGAAGTGCCGTTGGGTTCGACACGACAGTGACACGACGACACCGCATGGTTGCTCTCGTGTCGGATTCAATGGTACTGGTGGACATCGTGGCACGGCCGTCGAGTTCGACACGATAGTAAAACGACGACGAGCTGGTGGGCTGCGGCCCGCTTCAGTTGCTCTGTGTTCCTGTCTACTGTTGTTCTCAAGTGCTGTGGTGTTTGCACGTTAGCAAAGCAATGAATGTTTTCTCGCTTGTGCATTTTCTTCAGTTGCGACTAGCTGCTCGGCATGGATCGTGAGGCGAAGCCAAGCAAACGATGTAGTAGTGCTGGTTCCGGGAGCATGGAGCAGTCTTCGAAAAAAACGAAGGGGACACCGACGGCTGGTGTGGGGGCTGGCGACACACCGGGGTCTAAGGGCCACTGAAACCCGGTGCTGCGGGGTGCACCTTCTACGGGCACTCCTTCCGCCCATGTTCGAGGTTCAGGACCGGATTCGGCTGTATTGATAAGTGGCGGGGCTGCGGGTCGAGAAGAGGAGGCTATTGGTCGGCAGGGGAAATCTGCGATGGACGTTGTGCCGGAGCGTAAAAGGTCTGGTGACACGTCCGTTGCAGGTGTGGGAGACGAGGTGCCTATCGTCGACCACAACGACAAGTGCTGGATGTTGGACTGGGTGGGTGGAATCAGGGAATGCTCGGGTGGGCTGGTTTTGTACGTGGTGATAAAAGATAAAATTGTTCCGATTGGCGGTGTGGCTAAGTGGAGTGGAGAAAAATCATCGTCGGCCATGTTGAGTTGACGATGGTCCTTAACGCTAGAGGTGAGCGGGTGGCGGGTGTCAAACGCGTTGCTCTTCGTTGGGCCAAACACGCTGGGTACGGCAAGAGGCTTTATGACATTTTCAATCCGCCTGGGACGGAGAAATTGATGTTGCCGGACCTTCGATCGGTTTTCACATTCTTCGACAAATATGTGGTCGCAGGGCATGAGCCGGTGGTGCATGCTTCCGACCACATATCCTAACCGAAAAGCGTGCTTTCGTTGTCTTTGGAGGCGGCTCCGTCGTCGAAACCGATCATTATAGGTGCCCGCCCTCCGCCATCACTTCGGACAACGGTTGCTGCAACACGAGTTTCGAAATCTGGGCAGATCGGGGAGAAAGGTCCGTGTCACGGCCAAATGATGTCGTCAACCCTTGTGAAGCGTAGACCAACATCAACCAAGGAACCCGTTTCCTTGGTCTTCCCGCCGCGCTATGAGTTGGTCATTCCTGCTGGGCCACAATATTTTGGAGATGACGACGAGGAGAACAGCGCAAAAGAATGGGAGCGCGATGAAGATCGCGAAGAATATGAGGAGGGAGGCGAAGAAGAGGAAGTAGAGAGTGAACACACAATCAGCGAGAGGGGTGGGCCGGGCGAGTTGGAGGGTCGTCTAGGGGTTGAGTATGAGGACGAAGGGCAAGAAGAGGAAACGACCGGCGAGGGAGGGTATGCAGATGTGCATCGGGGTTCCAAACGAACGCAGCTGCTTGCGCCGGGTCATGGGCATTGGGAAGCGGATCCAGGTCGCGGGGAAATGCACCGTGAAGTTGGGGTCGAGCCGGCGCATGCCGATGGAGTACGACTAGCTGAGAAGAAAAGAAAGATGAGGCAAGAGAGGAGAAGTGCTTTGGACAGTAAGAAAACCAAGCAGGAGGGGGGAGCCGAGCAAGAGGAGGGCAAACACAAGTTGAAAATGCTGGCAGTTGAGGAGGTCGTCCAACGTACGCGGGAGGCTGAGGAGGCCATGACGAAAAAACAGCAGCCAAGGAAAAAAGCAGCGAAGGGAGGTGTGATGGAAAAAACTTTCGTTTTTCCACCGGACCAGCCACAGTCGGATGAAGACGCTGTGGGCAAGACAGTCACCAGACTGCCCGGTTTGCAGATTCTGCCGCCTGGGAATTCTTGTGGTCATCTGAGCAAAGGCTTCTTCCTTGAGTTCGATGAGAATGGTAAACAGAGGTCGGAAATGCAGTTCATTTCTGTCAAGTTGGACAGGATTCTGGATATCCCTGATGAGGAATTCATATATAATCAACGCTTCCTCGATCAGGAGCTTATTGATGACCTTTACAAAACAATGGTTGAGTCGGGTGAGGCAGCTATCAAAAAGAGAACGACCGGGGCGGTCGGGGTGAATGTATGTGCATTGTACGAGAAGCCTGTCCTTTTGTTGATTGGGCTTCATGATACAATGCATACTGACGCTTCCAGTACGAATGTGAGGGCGAGAAGAGTGACGCCCAGCGAATTCGATCTTCAATCTGTGCGCAAGTACTACTGGTACCCTCTCAGTGGTCAACACAATGTTGCGGCGGTGAGGAAATGTTCTCAAGAACGCCCTGACATCGCCTGTGAGCTCCGTTTGGATTGCTGGATTGCAAGGCCTGTTTACTATCCGGATAGGAGCATGGATAATTACTGCACCTTGAGCACTTTCCAAAATGCGAAGGACAAATGGAATACTCCTCCGCACCAGATTGCTATCGTTAAGAACATACGAAAGTTGTGGCGAGCAGCTGGTCGTCCAAAAGCTATAGGTGGATCTGCTGCAGACGTCAAAAATAAGGATTACAGAGAGTTTGCAGCGATGGCTTTGCGCGCGACCGGGAGTGATCATTTGGTTACTCTTTCACTTCAGGCTTGGAGCAAGGAGTGGTCCGAATTCCTCGGGCCTTACATGGTATTGGCAAGGGCGACGGACGATATGTTTGACAAGGTGCAACAAGTGTATTCTGCTTGGGAGAGTGGACAGTTGTCGGGGAGAGATGGTGTGAAGCCTGCCACCAAACAAGGTGAACCGGGGAAAGCGCCGAGACCTGGCCCCGGATTCGAGTTGGAAAAAGGAGTCAGGGTTCCAGTGCACTGGATTCAGGGTACTAGAGGACCTGGTTACCTCGTGGTTGTGCGCGATCCGGATGTCAGATCATGGAAGGCTATGTCTACGTTGGGGAGGCGTGATAGGTTTCAGTTGTTGCGAGACATTCTCGCGGGAAGTGTCATACTGGCTCCAAGGCTAAGTAAAGTTGCTCACACTGCCGGGAAACATTCGACGGAGACATACGTGGAAATGGTGAAGCAGAAAAGAGCAATGTTGAGAATGTTTCACTACTTTGTCTTCATTTCTGACCCTCACAAGAAGCCGTCAGAGTGGAAGGAACCATTCTTCGACAACCTTTCTGATTTGTTCGCTAAGTATTGTGATCAAGGATTGACATCGGAGAGGTGGATCGACCAGCGACGGCATTTCAAAGAAACGAGTTGGGTGCGGTCATTTCCGGCTACACTTGGAGGCGAGGATGAGAAAGGAGAGGAGGGCTTCAAGAAAACAAAATCGCTTGCAAATAAATCCCCCGAAGAGTTCATTCAATTTGTCAACAAGTTGTTGCGTAGATATGAAACTGGGGGTTCACATAGCATTCGTATGTCGGGATAAGCGAGATATATACATTTCCAGAAACAGGACGTGACATCTGTATTCGTGCCGTTCCGGTGGGAACCGAGCGATGTTTCAGACGAGATGGATCGCAAGGAGATGTTTAGAGCCGTCAGACACCTGACGTGCCACACAACCGTTCTGGATTTGTGTCGCCCGACCCAGATGGGTGCGTGGACTGAACAAGTGTTTGCTGGACTCAAGAAGTTCATGGACAAACTTGGCGGCGAGTATTGGATATTGTTGTGCTTCGTTCCACGCCCTCGCGAGTTAACATTCTTGAGGCGAGTTGCGATGTGGGACATTCACATGGATTTTCTCAAATGGAATCGTTTACAACAAACAAAGGGGAAAGTGGCATGTAAGGTTGCAAACTTGCCTTTGGAGGACACAGACAGAATGGTGGTCATCATGTACTCCCACGACGGGGATTTTCATCGCAACACTATTCTCTTGTTTGAAGATATTCAAGCTGCAGGTCCATCATCTGGTGAGCGGGTGACTGACATATTGGCACTTGTGCGGAGAGAGAGAAAGCCAAAGATGTTGACTGATGTCGTGGAGAAGAACTTTCTACCATCAAAGTGGAAAATGGCAGGTATGGATCCGCCGGAGAAAGTGGTCTACGATGGTATGGAAAGGGAGTCGAATGCGATGGTGGAGACATTGGAGCATTTTTGTCTTGCGGATGAGGCTGTCGTTTTCCTCGGGAAAGGTCATGCGAGATTGGTTTGGGAGTTGTTAAAGAGTCACCGTCATTGCATTGTGCTGGAAGGGGAGGGTATGAAGTTCGAGTTCCTCACTCAGTTCATTGACAAGATGGTCAAAACTCGAGATTACTACGCCAACTTTACTAAGCTGCCTCCTAGACATGATGAAGGGCGTGATCTCGTCTACAAGGTTGGCCAAAACGTGGTCAATATTTGGGAGTTTCTCTTCGAAACAAAGCCGCAAGACAGAAGGGAACGTACTTATGTCCTCAGAAGAAGAAAAGTGGAGAAGCTCTTGAGGGGTTATCATAAAGCACCATCGGAGAAGGAGGTTTCATTTGTCGACCGCTTGGAGACAATGTACTTCGACCAACAAATCGGGGCATTTACAATCGCAGGTTATGCGACTTGTTTTGTGGATGGTGAGGACTTTGATGCCGACGACTCAGAAGAAGAGAGTGTTGATGGCACGTTGCAAGCGGCTTTGGCAACTGAGAGGCAAAGAGCTTGTAGCCCGGGTTCGCAGAGAATGGGTGTTCCAGGCACATCGTCCGGTTCTGGAGGAGCTTCGAGCATGGCGGTTTCAACGGGTCAGTTAATGACTCAGTCGCCGACTTCTTCTATTGTTACGCCAACTCAGATGGCGGACAATACGATGACGGTGGCATCCGGAGGCAGTCTGGATCCAAGTGTTCTAGCAATGCTCTCCCCAGAGTTGGTGGCAACTTTGGCACCATTTGCACACAGCCCAAGTACTATTATGGAATTGCTACGCTCTCGAACTCCACAACAACCTCTACCAAATGAGCCTTTGGAGTACGAGATTGGAGACACAATCCCTGCAGACATTCGACTGCTTCCGGGGCCTATAGTGTGCTGAGACGATTATACGGTGACGGATGATGCCACATGGGGTCATCACATTATATGGCACCCCCAACACTTCCAACTTGCATTGGCGAGAGGGAGGTGGGTTATGACTATAAAAGAAGAAGGGGAGTGGCAGTTTTGCCTCCACAAACGTATGTCAGGATTGAACTTTCTGAAACATGCCAAAAATCAGATTGCTAAGCGACTCCTGAGACTTAATCCGGAGGTTTCTCAATCAAGACTAGATATAAGAACATAAGAAATTTTTCAAGAGTTCAAAACATCGCAATGGCTTGAGTATATGGAAGAGTTCTATGATAGACAAACCAGCCCGACTTATGGATATTATTGGCATGTCAGAGAAAATCTTGGGGAGAGGAAAAAATCAAGCGGCGGTGGTGACCATGGTAAGGGATCCGAATCGAGCGGAGGTGCACATGGCAAAGGATTGCGATCGGGGAGCGGTGCAAGTGACAAGGGTACGGAACCGAATGACGGTGCAAGCGGCAAGGACGCAAGTCGTGGGGAACGGCAACAAACCGAAAAGTCTAAGGGGCGTCAAGCAACAGAAGGCAARGGATCARCAMCAAGCRGCGGTSGGCATGRCAAACCTACAGGACCAAGCGGCGGTGGTTCAACTGTCGAAGGGTCTCAGGGGCCTCAAGAAACAGAGCGCAAGGGATCAGGATCGAGTGGTGGTTCAACTGTCAAAGGGTCCCACTGTCGAGTCGAACACGACAGTGGCCTCGCATTGGAGCGTTCCCGACTTGACCAAGCGAAGAGTCACAAGGTCGAGTCGAACCCGACAGTGGGATCGGAAACGATCGCCGATGCGACTGGCAAGGCTTCGGGACCACGGGGGGGCAGTACAACTGGCGGTGCTTCACCTATCAAAAAGTCACACGGTCTTGTCGAACACGACACTCGTCCAGCATTCGAGCGCTCGCGGCTTGACCAAGCGAAGAAAGTCACTGTCGAGTCGAACCCGACAGTGGGAACGGGATCAATCGCCGGTACAAGTGGCAAGGCTTCGGGACCAATCGACGTTGTTTCACCTGTCGAAGGGTCACACCGTCGAGTCGAACACGACAGGGGCACACTATTGGAGCGCTCCCAGCTTGACCGAGCGGAGAAACTCGTGGTTGAGTCCAACCCGACACAGCAACGGGGATCGATTGTCGGTGCGAGTGCCAAAACTTCGGGACGAAAAAGCGGTGTGCGTTGCGAGGGCGTTGTCGGGTCAGAAAACCCTGTGAGGGTTTTTGCCCGAGTTTTTCAAGGTCAGACACTGACCGACTTTTTTTTTGTTGAGAAACTTGATGAGATAGATGTTGTCAAAGTTATTCAGACCAACCTAAAATGTTTGAAGTTGATGAGGTTGAGGCATGATGATGGTAACGTTGCTAGCATTTTTGACGTCATTGGCACCGTCGACATGCGGTGACCTTAATGTAGGGCGCCGTTGACATCCAGTTGAAGCAGCAGTAATGGGGGGAATCACCATTGGCCGCATTCGACAGAGCCATAGGTGTGTACGGCAGTGGGGAGGTTCGGATTAAACCCACACCACCTCAGAAGTGGCACGCGTGGCCGTAGGCCGCTGGTTTTTAGGGCTTGGAGGGGCTCCACAGGGGAGTGCGCCATGTCCATGGTGGTGGCACGCGTGCTAGGTCGACGGGATGCCACCATGCGGATGGTGCCGCGTCCGGTCCGCAACTGGGGACATTAAGGGGCGCGGGCAAGGCCTGTGTGGGGCCACGTAAGGGTATGAGGAGCTGAGCTCTTCATATAGAAGAGCAACTCCTATTCTTGTGTGGAATAGGAGCCAGACCAGTAGGTTATAGTATCAGACTCTTACCCTGCAAATACAGGGATCAAATATGTGCGCAACTCTGGACTGGCTCCTTTTGGAGCAGCTCATACGGCAAGGCCTAACCTCGGCTGCTGTGGGGACTCGAACTCGAGTCTGTATTTCAACAGTTCATTGGCATGCCACGAGGGGATGTGACTGTTGGCAAAGCCAACATAATAGCAAAAAAAAAAAAAAAAAAAAAAAAGGAAAAAGGGGGGAGATCTAATCATGTCAGCGAAAACGAAGGGATGATGACTGTTTCTTTTGTCACTCACTTATATGTATGCTAAAGGGGTGGGAAGACAGCAGACGACGAGAAATGGAGCGATCACACAAAGGAGAATAAATCAATTGGACATAGATTTTCCTTGAGGATGTCCATTCTTTCCCGAATGACCCTCTTTGTCTATGCCCTTCCATCTGAATGTTTTTTCTTTTCTGTGATCTCTTTCTTCGTCTAGGTTCGCCCTTGACGTCAGGTGATAAGGTTTGACCGTCTGCTGTGGTAAGTGCATTTCCTTTCCGTATGAGGCATCTGAGGGGGGGATTCGTTGCCTCAGGGGCCGACCCTGTTAATGACTCGGAGTGGACTGCTTAGGCGGGGGGATACCATGCTGTCGTGGTGGAGCCAGCCCGACTTCTGAGATTCGAGGTTCGCTCGGGAGAGGACGAGGGGTATCGCAGACCACCTCTTAGAGGATGGATGTGTGCTATTCACGAAAGGCGTTAAGTTCTTGACGGCTCACGTTAAGAAGAACCGCTATAGTTTACCCTTCTAGTGGTCGTCTTAGGAGCCATATACGAATGGGGAGCTGGCGCCATAAGAAGTCCAGCTCGTGTTTTCACTAGCTATGGACGGAGTGCGATTAGGCACTACCTTCGCGGATAGGGTTGCACCATAAGAAGTGCAAGCCTGGGACGATCAGACTAGTTGACAGAAAAAATGTAACTAAAGCATTGCCTTGAATATCCTTATATCGCAGACTGGTAGTTCATCATTGGTGAGACAGAAAAAGTAATCATTGCTCAGGAGGACAAAGCGATCATTAAAATTTGAAAATGGATCCTTGACCTTAATGAGGCGTTCAACGTTCAGTCGTTCAAGTCGAGTACCGACTCGTATAGTGGTAGCCGGACTAATTGCAAATGACATTCACACCGAAGTTAGAAAGGTAGTGATGTCATTGCTAAAACAGTGTGATCCTAACTCTACTTAAGGGTTGTAATGTCCGCATTTCTTTGCTTGCAGTCAGCATGCAGTGGAATGAAAGAACTTGGCAACGCATCTCATCAAGTCGAAAAAGTCGTGACAGTCCAACCGTCTGGCAAGTAGAGTGTAGGTACTTTAGTCGGACGCCTTCTGAGTTTCGCATCGTGTATAAGTCATGCTTTTGTCCTTTTGTTGATAAGTGAGGTCCGAAGGCGAGTCAACTCATGTGTCTCGTCGTTGGATGAAAGTCAAATCAACCCTTGTCAAATTGATCGGGGCGAGTGGTATGCACGATTGTATTACGTATAGGTTGATTTCGGAAGATAAGTCAACTTGCGCTGACCTGAGTCTTTTTTTTTTAAAGGTTTGTCTGAGTGACTCTTGATTGTCTTTGAAAGAAGGGACTAGGATTGATCGAGATTTTCTTACGCTTGGAGTATCACGTCCTAGTCGACCGATGTCGATCCGATTCCTGGGAGATCAGCGCCCCAGGGACGGGCGACGTTCGGGTCCACTTTGGCGTTTAACCATGCGTACCTATGCTACAGCGAACGAGCAAACGCCCTCAGTCGGCCTACCTCTGCAATTGCATTATAAAAGCTTTGGCATGTGGGTCGGTAGCTCGGCGGGGATACGCCCCTAAGGGTGGTGACAGCCCCTTAGGGAAGGTAAGTTGTGCCTCGCGAGAACCTATCTTGTCGTAGGGGACCGCGGAATGTACAGCTGGCGCACTCGGCCGAAGCGGCGAAGGGTCGGCGCTGGTTACCGTGTCGTCCCCGAATTATCTCTAAAAGGTAGAAAAGCTAAGTTTCTCCTGCGTGACGCGGCCGGGAGGGCCCTCGCTCGCGCGGGGGCCGATGCGCTCGACAGCGTGAGTACAGCTGACCAAGTTTGGGCGACTACGACACTAGTGGGCGACAGTGTCGCGATGGAAGTGGATATTACTAGTAGACTCACGGAATTTCAGATGCCGTCGTCGACGATGCCAGCCGAAGTAAGCGGCACTTTCCAGAACACTTTTGAGGGCGTAAAGGAGGAAGAAACTCTCCATGTAGAGGGCATCGAAGAGGATGAAGGACATATAGTACTAAGTACACCGGAGCAAGCTGTACTTGTACAACCTCAACAAAACAACCTCAAACACCATAGTCTGCTAACCTCATGATAGCTATCGAGGAATCTCCTATTGCGCCATTGCATATGGAAGGTGTGACAGAAGGTCGTGTTGAAGAAAAATTGAGAGTTAGCCATCGAGGTGAGCACTTTCTTATCTTAGGAGCAATATCTAATACTATATGCGGATTAGTGGGTACATAACATGCACTCATCTCCCATTATGTCGATCCCTCAGATGTATTGTTTATTTACCTACCTTTGGAACTGTGTGTTTTCTAAATAGAAATACTGCAATTGTTTTGTATGAAGACTTAGTGCAATTGCCATATATTTTGTATTGGTATTCATGAGTCGGTTTCAACAACGAAAAGTCGAACTTGTAACTCATTATGTTTTATTTTGTCAATCATACAGGGCAACGAAAAGAACTGTGAAAAACGACACATGTACACTCGCAAAGGAAGAGAGAGAAGAATATTATTCGTCGTGGCTTGCAACCTTTGTCAACTTTGCCGTTATTGCCAGAAAATAAAAAAGAAGGGGGCATTGGACCGGTCATTGAGTAGAAGCGGACCCCCAAAAGAAGTGAGGGCATGTGAACTGCAAAAGGGCCCTCAGGCCCAGGCGTTGAGCCCCGTCTTCTCAAAACAGGGAGGTCAGGCACAACGAAACAGGCGTTTTGCAAGAGGCAACTTTGACGATTTTCTGTGCTCAGACGAACATACACAAAAATCTGAAATTTTGAGAATCCATAGATGAGGTCGTGTTCTTTACAAAAATAATAATAGAACATTTACAAAAAATCATGTAGACTGCGAAATAATCGTCGCGCCGTTTCAACACATTTTCCATTTTTGCCACTCAGCCATGCCTGGGCC